TTAACTTTCAGCTCCGCTTGGGAAAAAATAGACTTGCGAATTTAAGTTTGTTTGTAGAGATTTTCTAGCCAGTTCCATGTTCAGATTCTCATGCATTAACTCACTGCAGCAGTGTTCAAGTTTGAAAACATCGTAGGGCAATATTTTAAATCCAAACAATTCATTAAAACTTGTACAATATTAACAGTAAGTTTTGAGCAACCCTTTAGAATATTATATATTTTATTTAACCAGACCTATTTTTTGGGCCCAGTGTGATTTAACAGTCTCTATAAAGTATTTTGCTGTCAGGGGCTATATTTGTTTGTACAGTACCTAACACAATGGGGTCCTGGTCCAGGACTAGGGCTTCCAGGCACTATAAGAATACAAATATAATAATAGTAAATAATAAACTGAAAAACTTTAAAGGGACACTACCTAATTGGTCCTCAAACGTAGGTTTTTTAAACATTAAAAATCCCCACTAAAACTAATTATAAGAGTGTATTTTTTAAAAATATACATTGATTTTGTATAGATATGAAACATTCCACTTAATATTTCTTACATACAGGGATGGTTCTAGTGCCTCTGGCACCCTCTACAGACTCACTTGATTCAGACCCCTTTTGCAATCAGTTGCTGCTCTTTCCCACTCTTAAGATAGGACATAGCTATTTTATTTTATAATATATAAAATAGCTACTAGTTAGGACAGGTTGACTGGGATGGGGAAGAGGCCGTACAGAACAGGCTGGTTAGGGAACGATGGAAAAGGGACAGACAAACAGGGTGACTGAGGTTTAGGGTCAGCATTGAGCAAATCTAGGTTCTTAGTAGAACTTGGGAGGCGGAAGTGATCTTTTGTGGCTGAATGAAGAACAAGCCTTCACAAAACCAGCTCTATAGCTCCACGTAGGGGCACTAAAGGTTATTCTGCCTGCCCGAGTTGGCTATGCCAATTCAAGCATTGCTGTGTTGTGCTAGTGCACGAGAACCTTGAAAGTGAAACTAGAATCACAGAAGATCAGAGTTGGAAGAGACCTCAGGAGGTCTAGTCCAATATCCTGCTCAAAGCAGGACCAACCCCAACTAAATCATTCCAGCCAGGGCTTTATCAAGCCGGGCCTTAAAAACCTCTAAGGATGGAGATTCTACCACCTCCCTAGGTAACCCATTCCTGTGCTTCACGACCCTCCTAGTGAAATAGTTTTTCCTAATATCCAACCTAGACCTCCCCCACTGCAACTTGAGACCATTGCTCCTTGTTGTGGTCATCTGCCACCACTGAGAACTGCCTAGTTCCATCCTCTTTGGAACCCCCCTTCAGGTAGTTGAAGGCTATCAAATCCCCCCTCACTCTTCTTTTCTGCAGGCTAAATAAGCCCAGTTCCCTCAGCCTCTCCTCATAAGTCATGTGCCCCAGCCCCCTAATCATTTTCATTGCCCTCCACTGGACTCTCTCCAATTTGTCCACATGCCTTCTGTAGTGAGGAGCCCAAAACTGGACGCAATACTCCAGATGTGGCCTCACCAGTGCCAATCACTTCCCTCGATCTACTGGCAATGCTCCTACTAATGCAGCCCAATATGCCGTTAGCCTTCTTGGCAACAAGAGCACACTGCTGACTCATATCCAGCCTCTTGTCCACTGTAATCCCCAGGTCCTTTTCTGCAGAACTGCTGCTTAGCCAATCAGTCCCCAGTCTGTAGCAGTGCATGGGATTATTCTGTCCTAAGTGCAGAACTCTGTACTTGTCCCTGTTGAACCTCATCAGATTTCTTTTGGCCCAATCCTCCAGTTTGTCTAGCTCACTCTGGACCCTATCCCTACCCTCCAGTGTATCTATCTCTCCCCCCAGATTAGTGCCATCTGCGAACTTGCTGAGGGTGCAATCCATCCCATCATCCTGATCATTAATAAAGATGTTGAACAAAACCAGCCCCAGGACCGACCCCTGGGGCACTCTGATACCGGCTGCCAACTAGACATCTAGCCATTGATCACTACCCGTTGAGCCAGACAATCTAGCCAGCTTTCTATCCACCTTTTAGTTCATTCATCAAATCCATACTTTTTTAACTTGCTGGCAAGAATACTGTGGGAGACCGTATCAAAAGCTTAGTAAAGTCAAGGTATATCATGTTCACCGCTTTCCCCATATCCACAGAGCCTGTTATCTCATCATAGAAGGCAATCAAGTTGGTCAGACATGACTTGCCCTTGGTTAATCCATGTTGACTGTTCCTGATCACCTTCCTCTCCTCCAAGTGCTTCAAAATGGATTCCTTGAGGACCTGCTCCATGATTTTCCTGGGGACTGAGATGAGGCTGACTGGTCTGTAGTTCCCCGGATTCTCCTTCTTCCCTTTTTAAAAGATGGGCACTATATTTGCCTTTTCCCAATCATCTGGGACCTCCCCGGATCGCTACGAGTTTTCAAAGGCCAATGGCTTTGCAATAACATCAGCCATCTCCCTCAGCACCCTCGGATGCATTGCATCCGACTCCATGGACTTGTGCATGTCCAGCTTTTCTACATAGTCCTTAACTTGTTATTTCACCACTGAGGGCTGCTCACCTCCTCCCCATACTGTGCTGCCCAGTGCAGCAGTCTGGGAGCTGACCTTGTCTGTGAAGGGCGAGGCAAAAAAAGCATTCAGTACTTCAGCTTTTTCCACATCACCTGTCACTAGGTTGCCTCCCCCATTCAGTAAGGGTACCACACTTTCCCTGACCACCTTCTTGTTGCTAACATACCTTTAAAAACCCTTCTTGTTACCCTTCACATCCCTTGCTAGCTGCAACGTCAATTGTGCTTTGGCCTTCCTGATTACACCAGGCTAGTTATTTTTATTTTCCAGGCTGAAGTGTAAAAAGTAAATAACTAAATTTGTGTTCTAATTCTAGTAACTACTACAAATTGTGTGTGGGGGGGGGGGGCGGGGGAGGTTATTCATAACACAAGTATGGAAATGTGTTTAATTACATTACTTTTCGTCTGATACAAAAGTATCACTAAGGGATAACTGTATATGCCAATTCCTATGTTTTTAATGTAAAAAAACCAAAAACCACAAATTAGAGTAATTTTATCAAACAAAATAGACTCCAACTCCATGCAGGTGGACAGCGAAATAATAGCATAATTCGTAGTAAGTTCTCAGATTGTTTAATAAAATATGAAAAGTCATCCTTTAGGTAGTGAGTTCATGAATTCGCAGTAGGAATTCAGTCCAAAATAAGCAACCATGATATTGGTCACAGTAAAGAGGTACTGTCAATGTGAAAGGAACCCATAAGATTCAGAAAAAAAGAGATTTGCTGTATTGCTTTCAAATGTTCTAAATTAATTTCTAAAACTAATCTTAGAAGCTTGCAAATTAATATATCAATACCAAAAAATGGATTGTCTTGCTTTGGAAAAATTCTAAATTTACTGTTCGAAGGCATTCTTCAAATATGAACTACAATTCATAATAGGCCTGGAAAAAAAATGTAGACAAAAGCAGTTAGGCCCATTTTTTTTTTTAAAATGACCTCATTAGAACTGATCTCGTTTTCAGAGCTGTTGAAACCACAACTCCAATTTAAGTCAGTGGGAGCTTAAAGTACTTAACTGAATTGGTCACCTTAAATAAAACAGCCCCCAAATTCAAGGACAATATGAAAATTTGAGCCTTAAAGTTTTACTTAATTTCTAGTACTAAACAATTGATTCATTGTCTTAACTAGTAGTTAATTTCAAAGGTCAGAAGTTCTCAGAAGTTATATTCCTCCGGTTAAGGACAGAAGAAACTGATATGCTTAGAAAGTAAACCACAAATTCTTCAAAAATCTCTGAAACAGATGGAATGTCATTGTCTCAGAATCCGAAACCAGTTACTGATCGTATGGTCTAGCCTAACTTTTCTTCTATTTCAACTCACCAGCTCGGAGGGGGCGTGGAACTCCCCCTACAAAGATAGTTTTTCTTGGGTCCAATGGCTGAGAACCATCCATTACAAAATCACTGTCACTTAGGTTCCAAGGTCGAATTTGCACCTGAAAGAAAGATGTCAACTTTGTCTTCACTTCATTGCTAACTTACTCTACACAAAGTAATAAGAATTAAGAATCAGCCGCTAAACATTTACATATGTAAAATCTGATTAGAATATATGTAAATACACACATTCACATTCTTTTTTAAAGATAAAATAGTAAAATGATAGAATGTGAAAGTAAAAATGATGCAAGTATATCATTTATCTATGTAGGTATTCAGAATGTACAGTTTACAGTGTTTACTTGATAAATGTGGACAGTACATTTATCACCTCTAGAGGCCAGGCTTGAGTTAGATTTCCTCGTGCAAATGCAGCTACCCCATTCTCTCCCTAATCTGCTTCCTCCTCCAGCCTCCTTTATTAGGAATATGGAATATATAAAAGGACATTAAGAGCTTTATCATTTATAGTGTGAATTTAAGGATGCCGGTTGAACATTCAGCTTTCTTCTAGTCACATAAAATTTTAAAAGTTGAAAAACAGGGAAGAGGAAGTGGAATTAATTCCTATGTTTAAAATAAGAGGATTTCAGAAATGTAATGTTCAGTTTAGTTAAGCAGCCAGCTATATAGTGGACTGTTAGACAGAAAGTCTTCAGATTGTACAGAACTAAGAATTCTGCTCAAAAGCCATTTGGATAAACTTGCTCACCACTACAACCCCAGAATAAGTGAAATGTGTAAGCATCATTTGGATTTGCCATTGCATTGCAGTTTTCATTCACCCATGCAAGGTCTAATCTTCTAATTCAAAAAGGCACCCGTGAGCCTTTTATATGAATTTGATTAAGGACTACTCTGGAAGGATTATGCATATAATATATTAACTTTAACATATATAATAATAATTACAATTATATAAAGAATAAGGCCCTAATCTGTAAGAAATTAAGCGCATACATTACATTATTTACATGACTAGCCCCATTGACTAAATATTTACAAGATTGCAACCCAAGCTCCTCAGTATGCCCAATTTAAAAAAAAATGGGAATGGGTGATAAATAGTTGTATACATAATTACAGATGTAAACAGGTGGTAAATGATTGACATTACCCCTTGCAGAAGAAAGTTAGGCCCAGGCTACATGTTTAGAGAAATACTTTATATTAATGGCCGCCCTAAACGGATGTTGTCATTCCTGTAAATTAATAAAGTAGCAACTATCTTAATACCACCACCACCACACATGCAGTTTTTAGCCCCTCTTTATGTAAACCTGTCCACTTAAAAGACTGGTAGTACAGAAGTCCTCTACCTCCAGGATTTAACACAGTGCCAGCAATTCCAGAGAGTTTCTTGTAATGACCCATTGGCAGTTATAATCAGGATGGACCACTTTGTATAATTTAACAAGATTAAGTCTCTATTCTAGTTCAATCCCGAGTAATATGAGCCAGTTGTGCTGAAGTGGGAATTGTATCATGTATGTAATGCACCACTATATGCAAGCAACTGAAGCAGTTATCCACCAGCTCATTTCTGACTGCAGACAACATAAAAATGCTTGGTTTTTACATATCAAAAGTCAGGTTACATGTACAATGCCACTTTACTTTCTAAATAATTTAAAAACATTATCTTAGTAACTAGGTCTTTTCCAATATTCATTTTTAACAGATTCAGTAGTAATAGGGATAATTGTTCATCTTTGATTATAGGGAGTCTTTATGGAAGTATATGGAAGTAATTTAGAATAAAAAAAGGGGAAAATACTAAAAGGTATCAGACATTCAACCAGCAATACATTTTGAGGGATGTTAACTAGAAAAAATATATTTAATTTTCTATACCAATGAATATCTGCCTGAATATATGTTTATTTAAAAAATCCCTTTAGAAGAATCCAGTTAAAATTTGATTAGCTCTAGCAAAATGACTCAGCAAGAATATACCTCAAACATGTTTTCCTTCTTTCTGGTATTATCCTACTCCTCATTTGTCCATCAGAAGTGCACAACTATATGCTTTTGATTGGTTTTAATAAACCTTCTTTTATAAACCAAATCTGGGTCAAAGCAGACTTGCTACAGTAAGTGAAAGGCATGAAAGATTATAAATTGCTTAGCTAGCATTTGCAGAATTGAAAGCAATGAAGTACTGGCAAGGCTGCCTAAATTATTAAAGAGCTTGCTTTTTTTAAATCATAGGGGCTTTTAAAAAACAACAACAGTAGAATGGGCAAAGAAACTAAAGCGTTTACTTTTTTTTTTTTTTTTTTTTTTTAAATAGGTGACATTGTAACAGGACACATTCTGTTACGATATGGTACTGGAAGTACCAACATAAAAATTTAATTAAACAGTGGCATTTATTAGCTTCTGAAGAAGCCAAATTATGCTAACGTAAGAAGGTAAGCCTAGTAAAGGAACACCAACATAACCAGTTTAACAGTTACATCAGAGGAAAAATGCTTGCATATTTATTTGCTTTTGAATTGGCAAGGGGAAGTTGGTTAACAGCCAAGGCACTTTGTATACTGCTTACCGGTTTGTCCTTGATGGTGGGGCTTGACACACATAGATAAAGTTTTCCATCTTCTTCCAGACAGGCATCTATCAGCGCTTGTACAGAGCTTTCCTCTTGGAACAGCAAAAAGGCATAACCTTGGAAAGGACAAAGGCACAAGAAAAAAAAGAATAGATGAAAACTTTTGAAAGATAGGTCAAAACAGAGAACACAAAAAAAGAAAATCTGAGAACTGCAAATATCTTGTAAGCAGTTGGTTTTGACACTTTACTAAGACTCTGAATTACTTTATTTATCCCAATACATAGATGGCAATAAAAGTGTAATATTGTTGCTAACTGCACTGAAGTTAATACAATAATAATATGCTTTCATAAGGAATCCTGCCATAGGATCACATGGAGAAAGCAGGTTTCCCCACCATCACTCTTATTTTTGTTTTGATGCTGCAAAGAGTGTTGGTATCACAGTGGAGAAAAAAAAGTCTTTGGAAAGTTTGTTTTCTTTATATACTTTAAAGGTTCCAAACAAACACAGAATGGCTGGAAAAAACAGGAAAAAATGTGGAAGATTAGCCCACAACTATAACAGATCTATATTTGTGCTCTTACAAGTATTTGTCATCTTAAATAAAGCGATGGTGTTGAGGCAGTTTCAGTTGATATACAAGGGGGGGAATACTATGTGGGAAGGTCCATGTAATGAAAACCTGCATACAGATAACCTGAATATTTCTATCCTGAACATACATATGTTGGCAAGGGAAAAATGTATATTCTCATTCATTCATACTGTAGCTTTATTTCCTAAATATATTTCTAAATCAAATCTCCTAACATATGCAATCCTCATTGAAGACCATGATTTACTTAATTTGGACTTTTAAATTGCCACATATATAAAAGATTACCACTTGTTTTAGATCATGAAACTTTCTCATGCTTAGAGCACTCAAAGGCTCAGACTTTCTTTAAAGCTCCCCTCTAAAAAAGTGATGAAATAAGGTAATCTTGAGGGAAAGCTGTCAACAACTGAAAGATTATGGATTGAGAATTGGAGTGCCTTCTGACCCACAAATATTCTGATAAGATATCATCATATTTTAAAACAAATTTTTAATTTTAGTTGAGAGTACTGAGATATGAGACAAGCTTTTGTACAGTATAAAGGTAAGCCTCCGATATTCTTAACACATATCCCTAACAGGTTAAATTTTGGAATAAAAAGAAAGGTAAATTACTGCAATGCTACTACACTAAATTAGATCTTACAACCATTTGGTAATTACAGCTAGTATTGAATGCAGCTGCCCAGTTGTGGGGAACTTCCAGTAGTCTGTGTTACACCTGTGCTGAATAATTAGGAGTAGCTACCAGATGATTTCCCACTCACTGTTTTGATATTGGCTTTCACCTTCATAGTTTGGACCTTGCCTACCTTAGAGAGTTCCTTTCTTCACACAATTCTGTAGCAACTGTTTGAGCTAGCATTCCTCTCGAAACACAGGAGGACTGCCAGCAGAAGATTCTCAGTCAGGGGCACTGACTAAAAAGGCACCTGGCTAGGCCTATTTGCATTCCCAAGTTTTATTGGGGAGGCAGCAGTGAAGAGGAGCTCAAGTAGAATTTGAAGTAGTTACTGTGGAGAGCTTTCTTGGTGCAATTTTTTTTTTGCTTGTTTAATTATTTTTTAAAATTTTGTACATGCACTAAGAAATTAAAATTTAGTGTTCAAAATCAATTTTTCACCAGGACATTGCACAACATCTCTGCCCTCCAAAGGTTATTTCCCTACAAGACTTCAACTTTCTACAGCTCACCATCTTTATACTACAGATATTCAAAGAAAGGTTGCACAATAATTTAATAGGTCAAATGTATTCATCATTGAACAGACGACAGCCTTTAAAATTTCACCATAGAAGGAGTGCGTTTCAGAAAGTCTTGGGCACTTGCTAGGTTGCAACAACTATAGCTATGATCTACTGAGACATTGATTAAAATCCATGGCATATGTTGACAAAAGCCACACAGTCCATTGTGTTAGCACTACAGTAACTTGCTGCCTACACACCAAACTGATTAATCTTTGAAGAAATTTAATATTTGAATTTATATATTCAAATTATATAATTCAGTTTACACTGACCAATCACAGTATCACATGAAATTTGAGTGCCCAAACTTGTAATGGATTCAGAATATGTATTTATCATTGTCTTCATGTTATCTCCATTTTATTTTCCAATCTGTGCAGCTATCATGTTTTCTTCACCTTATAATGAACCTGCTCAGTAAGAAGTAAAATCTGTTCACTATCCCAATTAAAAATGTGTTCTGTTTGGCAGTTGATCTGTCCTATCAAATGCCCCCCACCCCAATCATGAAACTGAACACTTGGAAGAGACTATAGCAGGGGTGGGCAAACTTTTTGGCCCAAGGGCCACATCCAGGTGTGGAAATTGTATAGCAGGCCATGAATGCTCACAACATTGGGGGTTGGGATGCAGGAGGGGGGGGTCTGGGCTCCAGCTGGGGGTGCGGGCTCTGGGGTGGGGCCAAAAATGAGGAGTTCAGGGTGCAGGAGGGGGCTCCAGGCTGGGGCAGTGGGTTGGGGTGTGGGGAGGGGGGTGAGGGCTCCGGCTGGGGGTGTGGGCGGTTGTTCAGGGCTGGGAGAGAGGGGTTCAGAGAACGGGAGGGGGTTCAGGGCTGGGGTAGGGGGTTAGGGTGCGGGAGGGGGTGAGGGGTGCAGACTCTGGGAGGCACTTACCTCAAGCAGCTCCTGGAAGCAGCGGCATGTCCCCTCTCCGGCTCCAGAGGCGTGGCCAGGCGGCTCTGCGCTGCCCCGTCCCTGCAGCCTTGGTTCCCAGCCAATGGGAGCTGCAGGGGCGGCGCTTGGGGCAGGAGCAGCGTGCGGAGCCCCCTGGCTACCCCTACATGTCGGAGCCGGAGGGGGGACATGCTGCTGTTTCCGGGAGCTGCGCGGAGACACAGCACATGCAGAGCAGGGCAAGCCCCCGACCCCACTCCCTGGATGGAGCCCCAGAGCAGGGCAAGCCCCGGACTCTGTTCCCCGGCGGGAGCTCAAGGGCTGGATTAAAACATCTGAAGAGCCAGATGCAGCCCCCGGGCCATAGTTTGCCCACTCCTGGACTATAGTATTCCCTCGCCTTCCACCACAAATCATATTTCATTGGTCAATTCATTTTTTTGGGTGGAGGCATGGTGTTTAAACTCTTAGGCAGACTTCAGTACCCTATATACTTCAGTCCGAAAAATTAGCCCCAAATGTTAAGAATATTCTGGTTCTAACCAATATTTCCACTGGTTATTAAATAACCTCAAAGTTCCGAGATTAAGCTAAGCACTCCAAAATGTGGATGCTTGTCCATACATTGTATGAATATTTTTGGTTTGCAAAATTCATTTGGACATTTTGTCTGAACAGTCTTTTTTAGAGTGCTTTCTTTCCTGGATGGAACACACAGCATAGAAGATAGAAAAGAAAAAAAAATCTATACATATTAGTTTTTTATACTGCTCCTCATTACCACAGTATCTGAATGCCTTCCATGTAAAACAAACAGCAAATATTTACTTCTAGATTTGGGGAAAGATTTGGGATGATTCTTATTGGAATCTACACAGATGCTCTTGATTTTCTTACTTCACAGTAAAGATTCTGTTGAACTTGTGGCAGCAAGACCCGAATGCCATTTTTGGATATGGTAAATATTGTATTTGTAGTTATGATCCAATTAAAAATTACCCTAAACAAAAAACCCATGGCTTGTTCTGTTCAGCTGCTAGACTACAAATGCAGTCCTGGTTAGTCAGGACCTCTCCTGACTTCAGTGCCCTATATACTGCAGTGAGAAAAATTCGCCCCAAACGCAAAACCTGTGCTGCTTCACTCTTCTAGAGCATATTACCTCTGCCAAATACGGAGACTGCATGGAGTCTCTGAAAATGAGATTCTACGCTTTGGGATCATGACAGCCCTCCCCTATTAGCTCTGCTGGGCCACCCAATCAGCTTCTCAAAAAAAAACTGGCTAACACAGGACTTCAAAACCTGCTGACTTGATGCCTCCCCCAATTACTGAAAGGTTTTGGACATCCAAGACCTCCAGAAATCAGGTTTCCACTATAATTAAAAGTTGTGATTCAATAACTGAAGTTAAATTCAAATACTACACTGATAAGCACATATAAGAACTTAGATAGAATTGAATAAAACATCTCTCTCTGCCAAAGTTAAATTAATCAAAAAAAAAAATCACATTCATCAAAATATTTAGGGAAGCAAAGAGTCAAGAGAGAACCACATTGAGATAGGAAACCTACACTATTTTAGAATTAATGTTTAAAGTGTTCTGAATGTGTGAAGTATTGTTACTACTAAAATCCATTGCATAAAATCTATCCTCTTTTCAGTATTTAAGGTTGTTCGTGTTTGTTAGAATTACTAATCTGTAAATTAAGATCTCTGAGATACTCCTTGCTCACATGGACTCCCAAGCATGAACTTTTATTTGCATTGATTGAATAGAACCCTGTGGCAGAAGGTGTTCCCTGAACTCTAACTATACAAAAGTTAACTAGAAAATATCCATGAAGACCACTTGCTCCATGCTTAAGCTAACATTGCACAAGGAAGTTTTATATCACACAAGATGCAATTTAAATTAAATATCAAATATGTATTTTGTATCAGGAAAAACAGAAGACCATTTTGAATTATAACGCCAACCAAGCCTTTTAATGAAAAGCTAATATGTACTTTGACAACCATCACGCACCAACATCTTTTCATAATTATATCAACCTGTGCTTAAATGGCTATAACTGGCAAGTCTCTGGGACAGACCATATTATTCCCTCTAGGCTATGACACCAAAACATGTGGTTTGGAAGGTATAGCTTTGGCTGCTAGGCAACAGAGCTCTCAGCCATGCCCTATGTAGTTGTATGCAATTATTCAGTGCATTTCACAGACGGTCTTGAAGGATTTTTAAATATCCTCAAGGATGGTTGGTGTTTAAACTTATCCTCTGCCTTTCTCTGATTTTCAGATACAGCCAAGAAAACATTAGGTGGTGTTCAGATGCACGTCCAAATAAGATTTAGGCTAGTCTC